GAAACTAATCCAGCATTAAGACGTTTTTAACTAAAATACATTGAGTCTATAATCATAATAACACTTCCTCCAGTGATAAAGTGTTCTGGTGTGAATCAGGAGAGAAATCTGAACAGATCAAGCAGCGTTTAAACAGCTCTAAACAAATATGTGGCTGGATTTTGATGTGAGAGACAACAGGAGATGCACTTTTTCACCGGAGGAAGCGTTATTATGGATTATGGATTTGTATTTTAGTTAAAAAGGTCTTAATGCTGGATGTGTTTCAGCTTTTGTCTTCTCCAGATGTTAACTGCTGGACTGGAGTGCTGTGGATTATTGTGATGTTTTTATCAGCTGTTTGGACTCTCATTCTGACGGCACCCATTCACTGCAGAGCATCCATTGCTGAGACACTGATGCAATGCTACATTTCTACAAATCTGATGAAGAAACAAACTCATCCTGGATGTCCTGACCGTGAGCACATTTTCAGCACATGTTCATATGTGGGTGAACTATTTCTTTAATATATCTGACATAAGTCTATTTATTCTTTAAGTAATGTTTTGCATGTAAATGTGTGTCTGTATTCTCACACACACACAGACCGACGGCCTTTCAAACCCTCTCACTGACGAGTGACTCGTTAATAATCAGTGTTCAGTGTTAATCGTTGTCATTGTTTCTGGTGTCAGTCGATCGTCAGATGTTCAGCTCAGTCAGAATGAATCTGATTCTGCTTCGGGCCGGTCGTTCTGGGTCACAATCGACCGTCACAAACCAGATAGAGACAAACACACACATGACAGAGAGTTTGGGTGGGTTTTTATAGCAAAGATGTAACCAAATAGTCAAGATAGTTAGCGATGAAGTCTAAAAATGTAAGAATTCAAGAATCATTTCTGAATATTGGCAGAACGTGTCGCGTCAGTCTCTCTGCTGGTCGATTTCTTTGAAACCTTCAGTAGTTTAAAATCAACATATTTCGGTAAAACTTTAATTTTTGTACTTTTTAATGCATTAACTAATATTAATGTGTAGTAGATTTGTTACAGTATTTATTAATCTTTGTTATTTAATAACAAAATGCAACTGTTCATTGTTAGTTTATGTTAGCTGAGGCTGGTTTAATTGGATTCGGTGAATGTGGCCGCAGTCGTGAAGCTCTTCTGCCGATATTCACACACAGATGATGTTTCATGTCATCTATCATCTCATGTAGTGGTTAAACAGAATAACAGCAGACACACAGCTGAAGCATGAACGTGTGCGTGACGTTTGGTTAGATCAGCCGCTCTTCTCTTCTTCCCCTCTTACTGATGATCTAGTTGATAGGACGATTCTTTCACTGCTTTTCTCCAGCTAAAGGAGAGGTAAGATGCATTCGTGTATATATGTGTGTGTGTTTTCTATGTGTGTCTTTGTGCATGACCATGAACTGAAGTCATTGTCTAAGCAAAGACTGTTTGTTGAGAGAACCTCCTTCTGTTTCATGCTCATACATCTCAGTAGAAGCTCACAGGAGAGTCGAACCCGTTCACCATGAGCGCCTGTGGATCCTACTCTGCCTATAGAAGAGAAAAATCACACTTTAAATGGATATCTCCCCCAAAATGGAGCATTCTGTCATCATTTGTGCACCCTCATGTCGTTTATTTCTTCAGTGGAACACAAAAGCAGATATTCTTGAAGAACACTGGGAACCAAACAACTTTGAACCCCATTGACTTTCACTGTATGGACAAAAAAGAATATATTCTGAGAAATGTCCACACCGTGAAAGCCAATGTGGTCTAAAGTTGTTTGATTCCCAGTGTTCTTCAAGAATATCTGCTTTTTTGTGTTCCACAGAAGAAAAGAAAGCCAAACAGGTTAGGAACAACATGCTATTGCTTTACAATCTCAGCTATTTCTCAGAGACACCAACAAGATAAAATTATCTTCCCCTGAGAAAAAGACCCCATTAATCTCACACGTGTCTCCTCTAGGCTTTCAGAAAATATCTCAATACTGTCTCAAACTGTGCTCAGATTTGCCAAGATAGCAATCAGAAGTCGGAGATCTCATTATTAACTCAGTATTTCTCATCAAATTATCTGAGCTGCTCCACATACATTTTATAGTAGAACATCTACTGAGCCTTTGAGAATTTGTGTCTCATTTTAGGATAAACATCTGAGACTTGAATAAGAGTCTCCTGAGCAAACCCTGAGCGAGTTTTGAAAGCTTCATCATTGTTCCTGTAGTAGACCTGCTCAAAATACCCACTAGAGATGTGAATTGTGCCATTTTCCCCACAATCCCCCTTGATTCTTGTGTGAAGTGATGTATTCAAATGCATTTTCGTAGAAAATGAGCTCCGTAGATGGTTCTAGAAGTGCTGGAGTTCTGCTGAATGGAGCTCAAGTTCTCACGTCTACTCAGCTGATGCTCTTCAGAAGTATTTCAGATCTGGCGCCGGTTCATTGGGTTTCAATAGCATTACACATGCGAGATTGTGAATGCAGTGATGAATAGAGATCGTGACTCAAAATACCTGCTTCACTTCCGCCTCTCAGAGGTTCAGATGAGAAGATGGATCCATTTTCAGTTTACTGCGCAAACACATGACAACATCACAGTATCTCTCTCTGTTCCTCTCAGGCCAAAAGTGTTTGGCTTCCACTCATTCATTTAGAAACCACACGTTTGTTTGTGCATGACTGTGTGATGATGATTGGCACCTCTCTAATCCAATGGTTGGTCAGGATTCAGAGGGGGTGGAGATCATGTTGGGCGTGTGTTCCTCCGGGCTCCTCATCTACCGCGACAGACTTCGCATCAACCGCTTCGCCTGGCCCAAAGTCCTCAAGATCTCCTACAAACGCAATAACTTCTACGTCAAGATCCGTCCAGGCGAGGTGAGAACACCATCACGCCTTCTCCAGGTGACCTTCACAGTTTTGGTGAAGTTTGCTGACAAGAGAACGTTTGTTTGTCTCTAGTTTGAGCAGTTTGAAAGCACGATAGGCTTTAAACTACCCAACCACAGAGCGGCCAAGAGGCTGTGGAAGGTTTGTGTGGAGCATCACACGTTCTTCAGGTCTGTAGAGGTTCTTCTGTATGTTTGCTGTGTTCTGTGCTCAGTGGTAATCATGGTTTGCATCTCGACAGGTTGGTTTCTCCAGAGACTCCGCCTAAGAAGTTCCTCACACTGGGTTCTAAGTTCCGCTACAGCGGCAGAACTCAGGCTCAGACCAGACGGGCCAGTTCCCAGATTGTCCGTCCGGCGCCGTACTTCGAGCGTTCGACCAGCAAGCGCTACACGATGTCACGGAGTCTGGATGGAGGTTTGTTTGCTTTTGTTTCTCTTTCCAAGTGCATTATGGGATAATCTTTTTAAGTTATGGGATGATCTCGACAGGGATGATCTATCTATCTATCTATCTATCTCTGTCTGTCGTCTGTATAATTGTCTGTCGTCTGTCTTTTGTCCCTCTTGTTTGTCTGTATGTATGTCTGTCTGTCATCTGTTTGTCTATCTGTCATCTGTCTGTCTCTTTTTGTCTGTTGTCTATGTTTGTCTGTCTGTCTGTCTGTCTGTATGTCTGTCTGAATGTTTGTCTGTCTGTCTGTCTGTATGTCTGTCTGTCGTCTGTTTGTCTATATGTTTGTCTGTCTCTGTTTGTCTATCTGTCATCTGTCTGTCTCTTTTTGTCTGTCATCTGTATGTTTGTCTGTCTGTCTGTCTGTATGTTTGACTGTCGTCTGTCTGTCTGAATGTTTGTCTGTCTGTCTGTATGTTTGTCTGTCGTCTGTCTGTATGTATGTTTGTCTGTTGTCTGTCTGTATGTTTGTCTGTCGTTTGTCTGTCTGTCTGCCTGTATGTTTGTCTGTCATCTGTCGTCTGTCTGTCTGTATGTTTATCTGTCTGTCTGTATGTATGTATGTTTGTCTGTCGTCTGTATGTTTGTATGTTTGTCTGTCATCTGTCTGTCTGTATGTTTGTCTGTCATCTGTCTGTCTGTCTGTCTGTCTGTGCCTGTATGTTTGTCTGTCTGTCATCTGTCTGTATGTTTGTCTGTCTGTCTGTCGTCTGTCTGTCTGTCTGTCTGTATGTATGTTTGTCTGTCTGTATGTTTGTCTGTCTGTCGTCTGTCTGTATGTTTGTCTGTCTTCTGTCTGCCTGTATGTTTGTCTGTCTGTCATCTGTCTGTATGTTTGTCTGTCTGTCTGTCGTCTGTCTGTCTGTCTGTCTGTATGTATGTTTGTCTGTCTGTATGTTTGTCTGTCTGTCGTCTGTCTGTATGTTTGTCTGTCTTCTGTCTGCCTGTATGTTTGTCTGTCTGTCATCTGTCTGTATGTTTGTCTGTCTGTCTGTCTGTCATCTGTCTCTCTGTATGTTTATCTGTTGTCTGTCTGTCGTCTGTATGTTTGTCTGTCGTCTGTCTGTTTGTCTGTCTGTATGTTTGTCTTGTCTGTCGTCTGTATGTTTGTCTGTCTGTTGTCTGTCTGTCTGTATGTTTGACTGTCTGTCTGTCTGTCTGTTTGTATGTCTGTCTGTCTGTCGTCTGTATGTTTGTCTGTCTGTATGTTTGTCTGTCTGTCTGTCTGTATGTTTGTCTGTCTCTCTGTCTGTATGTTTGTCTGTGTCTGTCTGTCTATCTATCTGTCTATCATTTTATCGTTCTATCTGTGTATCCGTAGATGTGTCATTATCTCATTGAGTCTCACTGGAGTTTGAGTGTCTGTCATCTGCTTTGCTTCATGTCCTGTTTGCTCTCCTCATCCTCAGTATCAGTCATTAGCAGACGTCTGTTTTCTCTGAACAGCCCGGTTTTATTTTCTGTTCCCGTTATGAACGTGTTTGCAGACAGAAGCGAGGCTCGCGGCAGGACAGGGATTTTCGGCTCATTAACCTGTAATCTTGGCTCCTGGGGCCTGGAACGAGTTTGTTTCATTTCCTGCTTTTGGTTTAATTGGAGAAGTTCTGTTGTGTTGCAACATAAAGCCGGCGGTCTCAGAGCGCATTACTGAATACTAACACACGTGATTCGTAGTATGAATGAACAGGCTGGATGTGTTCAGTGTAGAGAGTCTGCTGCATCTTTAATTATCTTCTCGTTAAACGTCTGATTCAATTAATCCAACATCATCACGATGGGTTTATATACTTTAAGGTGAAAGGTTTTAAGTTACTCTCTTGTTTTTTGACTAATAGTTAGAGAATACTTGTTATCTAGATAATAACTGGCTCAAGTGTTTGGTACAGTGGCCTTATAAAGTTTTTGGCCTTTTCAGTCACACACATAAATGTCTGAATATCACTGCATCAGATATAAAACATCAATGCAAGTAAAATTAGTTGTGAATAAAGATGCACGAACACACTTAATCAGAAAATGTCCCAAACAATAGTTTGTTGTGTTTGAACTGCTAAACCAATAGATGTAGCGCTGAAGATGAAGACAATGTAATTAATGAAGATAATTAATGGGATTCTCTATCTCTGGTTCCTCTGAACTTCATGCATCCACTAAAAATCATCAAAACACCAGATGATTCAAACCAGTGTTATTTTAGTATCGGTGAGATACTAATATTTTCTTAAATGTTTTGAATTCGTTTTTATTTTTATGTTTTCCATTTTAATTTTAGTTAAAGTTTTATACATTTTTTTTGTGTTTTTTAATTTTTTTAATTTTGTGTTTTTTAAAACATGTCTACTTATTTTTTATAAATTTTTATTTCAGTTTTAGTTGTTTAGTACATTAAGTTACAATAAAATGAGAAATGTTGCTTTGGCAACTAGCTGAAATAAAATAAGTTTAAGGTTTTTTTAAATAATTTATTTTATTTCAGTTGACATTTAGTTTGTTTCACGTTGTTTGTTATGGGTTTAGGTTTAGTTTTAGTTTACTATAATAGCCCTGATTCAAACACATTGAAGAAGAAAAATGATCCTGCACTTGATCTGATGAAGGAATTCAGACTTTTATAAACGTGACTGAGGTGAACAGACACTTTCAGGTCACTGTATGTTTTTGCATGTGATCTAGTCTGACGTGTGCGTTAGTGTCTGTGATACTGTGTTTGCTCAGACGTGTGTGTGTGTGTGTGTGTGAATCTCCTCAGCTCAGCGGACGCCAGTCAACACGGCGACAGTCAATGTAAATGGCACTAGACCAACAGGTAGAGACGTTTCTCTGTATCCCTGACGCTTGTAGATACAGAAGCCTCTCCGTCTGCTTGTTTGATCCTGATAGTGTGTGCATGCGGCAGGCATGCGCTGGTGCTCTAGCGCGCTTCTGCTTCAGATGCCTTTGATTTTGCACATGCTGTTGCTGCGTCAGTGTTTTTTTACAATCATATACTAATGCTTTTAATAATATTTTGAATTTGTTTTAATTTTATATTTCACATTTTTATTTTAAATTTAGTTAAAGTTTTAGTACTTTTGTTGTGTGTTTATATATATACTGTATATATGTTGATGTAGTTTTTATTCATTATATTTCAATTTTAGTTTTAGTTATTATCAGGTTAAAATAAGTGAAAATGAGAAATGTTGCTTTGTTTTTTTTTTTCAAATTATTTTATTTATTTTTAATATGAATATTTAATAATGAATATTTTATTAATAATTATATTCGATTATTTCATATAATTGATATTAATAATAACTCATGTGTATTGATAATTATTTTATCAATAATTTTTTTTATTATTTTTTAATAGTTTTTTTTAATTATTAATAATTTTATTAAGTGGTTTATTTCAGTTAGTTAACTATAATAACCCTGGTCTGCGTCCGTCACTGTCAGAGGGCTGTGTCTGTGAATGTCTCTAAGAGGCTGGTTAAAATAAACCGAAATGTTTGATCTTTCAGGGTTTTATGAGTCTGTATCTGTTCTCACGGAAACATCATCATGTGTGCATCATTGTTCTTGTTTATTGATTCATGCAAGGTTCAATATTACAGGCATAAATGAGGAAAACTAGCACTGCATCACTTAACCAGCATCATATTCAAACGCAGTTCTTCTGTAGAAATCACTCAGTATTGTACTGCGGTACAATCAGCAGTAATTACGACTTCTTTAGAGCTTTTAGAGCAACAAACACTGAATCACAGTGAATCCATCATGATCACGTCCTAGACACGTTACAATTATTTATTTTGCAAACTTTGTGGTAAAAATTGACTTTGAAAAGTTCCAGACATTAAAAGCACCATATCCAGAAACATTTCATTTATATTCCCTGAGATCTGCTTAGTCATGCTTTTATTGTCATTCTGCATGTTTAAGTGCACGTCAGTGTGATGTTAGTCAGGGTTGATTGCACCAGAAACAGTCTTTTAGTTTTTTTTTTATCGTTACCCAGCTGCTCTTTGGTGATTATAATTAAACTAGTTCTCATAAACGACCTCTGTAATGACTGACTAACCTCTTCACATGTGACTGAATGGATGTGCTGTGCGTGTGTGTGTGTGTTTGTTGGGGTTTGTGTGTGTGTCTGTGTTTGTTGTCATAATGAACTGAGTTTATGCTTAATTAATACATCACAACCATAAAGATTCATGATGCCATAGTAAATGTACAGAATAAAATAATTCTGCAGTCTTAACTCAGTAATATAATGCAGTCAGTGTTCACTCTGAAAGCAGATGCAGTACTGACACTGTGTTTGTGTGTGTGTGTGTGTGTGTGTGTGTGTGTGTGTGGATATGGGTACGGCGTTGTACGGCACAGCCAAAGGCATTGCCATAGGTGACCTCATCACCACGGTAACGCCGGAGAAGAAAGTGGAGGAGACGCGTGAGGAGACGCGACCGGTGCTGGTGGAGAGTGTGGTGGTGCTGGAGGAAGAGGACGAGATAACGAAAGCCACGGAACTTTTGCTGCCGAGCCCACTGACACCGGCCCGACAGGACACACGGGTAAACTAACCCTGACTAACCCACCAACACCGGCTCGACAGGACACAAGGGTTAACTAACCCTAACTAACCCACCGACACCGGCCTGACAGGACACGGGTAAACTAACCCTGACTAACACTAACTAAACCACCGACACCGGCCTGACCGGTCACATGGGTAAACAAACCCTAACTAATCCACCGACACCGGCCTGACAGGACACATGGGTAAACTAACCCACTGACACCGGATTGAAAAGGACACATGGGTAAACTAACCTTAACTAACCCACCGGCCCGACAGGACACATGGGTAAACTAACACTAACTAATCCACCTACACCAGCCCGACAGGACACATGGGTAAACAAACCTTAACTAACCCTAACTAATCCATGACACCGGCCTGACATGACACATGGGTAAACTAACCCACCGACACCGGCCCGACAGGACACATGGGTAAACTAACCCTAACTAATCCACCGACACCTGCCTGACAGGACACATGGGTAAACTAACCCTGACTAACACTAACTAA